CCCTCAACCTATGGACCTGCCACATCGGAAATAGGCAACTCAGACACATCTCTCCGCACGCACCAATAGGCAAGACCTCATGATTGAGTGGTCTGCCTATGGCAATTTGCAATCAGACGGCACTTCCTAGATGATATGTTTCATCAAAGGTTGCCCGCGCAATAGTTACCTTCACCTGCCAATCAACCAGATTGAGCCAACTCCTCAGAACTATTTATTTCAGCAATAAAATTATGCCCCGAAAGATGGTCATAAAATAGTATTTCATCGTCGGGAGCGCTCGCAACAAAGATTGTGTCACTGCCCGCTTTATTCGAATTGTTTCTGTATCAGATTTGGTAAGCAGTTTTTCTTTTCCGCAGCGGCCTGCTGACCCTCGGAATTTGATGGTCATGTAAGTCATCCCGATGTTCGTTTCAGCAAGCACCACATAGACACGCCATAGACACGCCAGTTACATAAGATCTAATCAATCAAATTCAAGGTTGCTGTTCTGACCTTATGGATGCAGCGCACACGGCCAGCGCCCTTCGACGCCAGTTGCGCCACAAACGAGAGGAAAGATTTGTTCTGCCGAGCTTGGACGCTTGAACGCACACAAACCACCCACAATCGGATAGTAACAGCTAGCAGCTGAGCGTGAATTCAGACTATGAGCTCGGCCAATCATGCTTCAACAATTCTGCACACAAACGGTGACCACGACACTCAGCATATGACGCTCCTTGTCCTCAGCATAGTTCTACCTTCGACATAGCCCTGGCAAAAGACCTAGGACGTCCGCAGACCGTCGTGATTGTAGAACTTATTTCATCCTCGAGGCGTCCAAATACATCTAGCATACAAACACGATCCCCAATGTCAGAAATTTTCGCGTCCACATCTACACTGTTCAGAACAGGTCTGTGGAAAATGCTTATCATCATCCAGGAGACTTCAATGAAAGTAGGAACACTTCATGCAGTTCGGAGCGCTCGGCCTTGTCAGAAAGAGTTCTGGATTCGTTCGCCATCTCCTTTCTAGCGTTAAGGATATTCGATGGGGAAAGAATGTTGTCTGCATTGAGGCCCCTTGTGCGCAGCCGCACGTTGTGGTGGTTGATCGCACCGCTCCAAACACGCGATAGTACACCAGGAATGCACTCCGTGGAAATTCGCCCATATATCCCAAATCAGGAAGCGCTAAAATGCAAAACTCACGCAGCACGGCAACATCGAATCCTGCCAGCCACTATCGCCAAAAAAAATGATAGTAAGCACGAGGAACAAAGAGTGATGTGCACGGAACGTTCCAGAATCCAAGCTGTTTGCCTATTGAAGCATGCTTGCATTCAACTATGCATCGTTCGTGCTATTCTTAGTCTCACCTATCTTACGACCATCCACGGCACAAGGGAAGCTCGTGGAGGAGATACTGTAGGTTTGGGCAAACGAAAGACACAGGAGCATTCTTGTTATGTGCAACTAACACGTTATGTCCTTAATGAGAATAGGAAATTGAATGTCAAGCTGCAAATAATCTAGAATACTAGCCGGCATCTGCTCATGCTACGTTGGACTAGCTGACGCGGTTAAGTGGTATTAGGACGAAAAGTGTAAAGTTGAGTTTTGCTTCCTCGCAAGCGAAATCCAGAAACCGCGTTGAAAATAAAGAGTAACTGGCTATTAGTCACAACGTATAACGCACTGAGCCAGTGAGTGCTCCTTGCGTTATTGTTCACTATATTGCGCGAAAGCCGATTACTCCTCTTCAGCCATCTTGTCCGCGACCATTTGGATCTGCAGGCAAAAGCAAACTGACAAAGTAGTTCATTTACAAATAAACTGCAAGGAATATGAGGACTCAAGGGATATGGCCTGATGGATGTAGCCAATATACTGACCTTCTTGAGGACTCTCTGCTTCCTTGTCTCCTTATCGAGCTTGACATTCCGTACATATTGTGACTTCGCTGTCTTGATCATAGCTCCCTGGCGAACCCTCTTGACTTCTCTAGCCTCTTTCTTGACTGGGTCTGGGTTGGCCCGGATTTTTTGGAAGGCCTCCTCGTACATCTTCTCTATGCTGTCAGGGTCGATTTTATTGCGAATATAAGCGGAAAATTGCAACTGGTATCTCTCCGGATCTTCCTCCTTCAAAGTGCGCATATATTCAGCAACATGCAGACCGTAAATGCGTGCACGGTGAACTTCAGGGTTGTACGAATCATCAGCGCCGTCCTCTCCCTTTGTGAAACCCGGGAAACGCTTGTTGCTGTGCGGGATATGCAGGCCTCCATCACAAGCACCTTTCATAGCACCAAAAACCCTATTGCCTGTAGGCGCACAAGGCCAAAAGAACATTCAAGAAGCATTTCCACATTAATCGCCAACCCATGTGCCACGAGTAAGAAAATTTTCCCAAAGCACAGACCTACCGACGGTTGTGGAGACAATTCCTACATCCAAGACGCATTTGAAGGGCCGGCGCTCCTCTGACACTTCCTCAATGTGGTACTCCTCGCCACTGGGTTTCTCAAGGCCTTTAAATTCATCAGCCAAACCCTTCTGTGAACGCAAGTTGACATACAAGCAGTCTAGAAGATGAAACGTCCGAGGGGAAGTCTTACAAGCGCTTGCCTTAGCTCCCGTCCCAAGTATCTACTGTTGCTAAACACCTACCTGCTTCAAGAGCCTGCGGGCTAAGAGCAAACCCGTGGCGTACGCCGCTGAGTAATTCGTCAACCCAACCTTAATTCCATAGCGAGTCAGTTCCTGGGAGTCTGCGCTGCATACAAGACGATCGCCTTGCAGGGTAGCATACATCACCTGGCATAGGACGCGTGAGTTGGTAACACGCACAACAAAGCGGTACTTCGGCGCATTGTATTTGTTCTTATCTTGAAGAATCAAGCGCCTCCGCGCGGCATAGTCCGTCTTCCCCTCTGCAATGACAAGCACGCAACGCAACACCAAGATTACCTCGACAATGCCCCTTCCACTCTATGCAGTACAATCCCCTCAGAAGACTGTTGGCGTAGACAGGTCGGCGCTTGTCCAGTGGAAGCTGATGACTCAGCTCTTGAAAACAAGCGTCGGTTTAAGTCGCCGGTTTAATATGCCGAAAGACTTTCTGTCGCCCGTAGGACTAAGTGCACCAGAGTAGTACACTTATAAAGCCGCACGCACGCCTTGTCTCTCGGGAAAACGATTCGGCGTGTGCAGCCGACAATCTCCACGACAACGTCTATGTACGCATCGGTCACTCGTCTTGTAAAAAGACCCACGAAAGGAACACATTTGGGGTTACTACAATTGGAAATTCTGGAGTAGTATCGACTGCGCTGTCACGGCAAAGCAAATTGGCAGAGATTCACGCACTACACAGAAGAACTGGCAAAAAAACAAAGCTCGGAGCACTCAGAGCACCAACGCGCACTATACAAGCATCAAAATTTTACATCGCTCCAGGAAGCACAAGCGCGTCGGTGCTCCCCACAAGGAGCCGACTTGGCGGGGCCGCCATCGAACGGGAGGTACCACGAACGCCAAAAACGCGGGAGCCACACTTCCTGCTGTGCATGAAATAGATACATCTGACGCCTTAATGTTAGTTTAGGAGGTGTTGATCTGGAAATGAGGGTCCCCCGCTGTGCACAAGATTCCAATGCAGCAGTTGCTCACCCCTGCGCCGGCGGTACTTGACCTGGAAGCGCTTAAAGTACGCTTTGTTTTTAATTGCTTTTACGAAAGCCATCTTTGCGTACCGAAGCGTCTAAACGGCAACAAAGTGCGCTGTGGGCAAGCATGCGGACCCTCACGCCGGCTGCGATGAGGTACATCAACATGGAGGAGTGGCTGCCCCTCTGACGCGTCGTCCCAGCCAAGCCCCACACCAAGAAGCCCCGGAGTACATCAACAGAATATGCGCAGGAAATCATACGACAAAAATTATCTCTTTCATAAGAAAAGAAAATTATCTCACTTCATGTTTCGCGAGAAGGTCCAGTACAGATTGGAAAAATGCCACTGCACAAACGCCTCATTTTATTTTTGGACCCACGCCGTGTCCGTTATTTTTATGAGCTATCGTTAAAGCCGCAGCACGTAGTACAGCGTCGTGCTCATCCCAGCTTCAGTAATGTAGTTCAGGGCTACAAATGCTGTCTACTTTATCCGTATAGCACGCGGATAAGCATGATGGTTGTGCTGGGTGAGCTGGATTTTCGCCACGCAGTGCGAAAGGCACCAATGTACCTAGGAACTTTCACGAATAGATTCAAACTGGCTCAGCAACTTTAGGTGTGCTACAGATCTGCCTGCCCAAGCTACTTAGTGGCATGCTATATGACAAAAAAAGAGTGTCGGGCCCGAAGTATCGCCAAAAATAACGCGAGGTCTTTATTATGGGACAAAATAATCCAGTACTTCTTTATTCAGAGCAAGTTTCCGAAAAAAATCATATTAATCCTTGCCTACTTTGCTTTGGCTGTATGAGGGTTGGTAAGCCTCAGGAGCCCATAGTGGCCAGTTCCAACTGTAGGCTCTCAGTACAGCTAGCTACCAAAAATATCTTGGAGTGGCTTGAAAATTTTTAGGGCGAGCCATGGTACATAGGCAAATAGTCTCGAGATTGCAAAGAATTAAGGTCATGCTCACGAGCAACAGCAGCTGCGGCAGCAGCAGTTGTGGCAAAACAGCTAAGCAACACGACACACCCAAGTCCGACGGCACACCAAAGAGATATTCGCACTGCTAAAAAATAGTTTTAGTGGGCTAACTACAGCACCAGCAGCAGCAAACACAGCAACTCCAGCAGCAGTACCCGGTGCAGCAGAAACAGCAACCCAACAATGTTCTACCTAGCAAACAGAGGCCACAAGGGGAAGAGTGTGCAGAGTGCCGTGCACAATCAGACGGCAGGATAGTACTGTCGCAGCGTCACGCTGATTGTGAGCGTGGTGAGCCTACTTGGATAGTAAAACAGGAAGGATAATACAAGGGAATCACTTGCGAAATGGCCACATTGTTAGCCTCTAAAAGGGTACGTGGCTGTACGGGATTTTAATGGAAGACCATATCAGCTGCGCACTTAGCCGAGTTTGGAGGGTATTCTGCTGGCTTTTACTCCTCAGCGCCCGTTTCTGAACGGGAAAATGAAATCCAAAGGGGTTTCACCAACGCTAAAATTGTGCTCCTTTTTTTACTCTTTTAAAAAGGAAATCTCACACAGAATAGGCTTTTACTTTAAAGAAGCTATGCTGCCCCCCAGTCCATCAGGGGCTCATGTTGGCACAGAGTCCTGGATGCAGACTCAGCTTCTCCTCCAACAAGCATGCTTCCTAAAATCTAGTTTGCAGTCAGGACGTCTGAGGTCGAATAAATTGAAACACGGAGCCCAGGCACCTCTACACGCTTAACTCTAATTGGCGGCCATATGCTGTTCTTATAAACATTGATTCCGGTGCTAGCTGCGCTCCATATACGCAGAATTCCAAACAGCATTTCCGTATGAAAGCAAACATAGTGAATTCACTTCCCCCCAAGATTCGCGGAAGTCTAAAGCACTCCTCTAACATACTCAACTAATATATATGTATACATCTCTATTAACCCTACATAATGAAGTATATATCTTGTTTGGAGTGTCGAAGTCCTGTCTTTGCTACTAGAGATGCAAGTATGAAGACGCACAAGGTCTTGGATTCTGAGCTACGGGATAAACCCTGTTTGAGCTTCAGCTGACCCTGTGGCGGATACTCCTGGCCCGATACCTGGCGGGAAGAACTGTCGCATCTATGTCCGCTGCTTACATACTCAGAAACACCGATTACAGCGCGCTGTACAACAAGGTGAAGTTACAAATTAAGTGCCACTGAAGTATTCCTCTGCCCAAGAATATCAGGCTCTACGCCTTTCGGGATTCCTAGGCAATAGTCCCTGCAGGAGATGAGGTGGATTTTGAGACTGATTTGATGGATTACTGCACAAAAAATCGCTGGAACGCTTGCGCCTGAGGAAGAGTGTAAATAGATACACGACCAAGGCTCCACGGCAAACGAGTTAGCCGCGGCTGTCCATCGATGCGAAACGGTAGGACACTGCCCGCTTGCTGGAGAGGTGCTGCAGTCGAACAACTACAGCTCATGAGTGCGTAAAGCAGTTTGTTGGCAAAAAAGGATAAAGTAACTTAGAACGGCACTCTTAAGAATTCGTTGTGGGACAATAACGAAGCTTGCCGCCTTCTTCACGTGTTCCGGCGGAGACACGACCTCGTGCCTTAGGCACTGACTCGCAACCAGATCTGCGCCTTTTTGGCAGCCTGCAGCATACCCTCTCAGCCACCCCCTGCGCGTGAATCGTTTAGAGGCAATTTTTGTTCTAGCTGGAAGACAGCTCCTGTGTCAAGGTGCTTCTTTTTTTCCAAGACATTAAGGGCATTCTGCACGATCTAGAGTCAGCCCCGGAACCCTTAGCTGCAAGCTAGAAAAGAAATCTCGTTTCTCTCCTGGTATTCCACATCAGGCACGGTCAAACATGCTTTTTGCTCTCTGAATAAAGAGAGTGTTCATCGAAGCCTGGTCTCTGGTGGGTTTGGGTGGCTCATCCGTTTGAAGCGGGCCGCCCACTGCCCGTCAACTAAACGCTGTAATGTAACCCTTAAAAAAGCGGCAGAATCCCTCCTTACCAGTGCAGGCTTCAATGCTGTTCTGTGCCAGACGAACATAAATGAGGCTCTTAACTCTGTGGGGAAGGGTTCTGCAAGAGGCAGAACCGGCTGCTACCTGAACCAAACGAAGCCTGCATCGGCTCAGCCACTTTTCAGACATTTTCCCAAGTTTTCACATTGCCATTTCAACAGCAAATGCTCGTGGTCTACATTTCGGCAAGGAAACCTTGCAGCAGAACACGACCACACGGCCACCCATTTGGACGCGGTATTTGACGATCTTCCGGCCCAGATTGCCGCCAGGCAGCTCTCTAGGCGAGATCCTGCTCCTGGCGTCTTTCTTTTTGTGAAACAAATGCAACTACTATGCAGTTATTCAGGATACAACGTCCCTTGAGGACCAAGAGGGCGCAGTCTCAAGGCCATATAGACGGACTCGTTCCGATTGCTAGGTCACGCTAGGTGAGCTAGATGCTGTTCAGCCACTTCTACTGAACGCTGTTTCTGTGAAGAGTTGTTTGTTGCTCAGCGTGAGGAAGGCTAAACTATTTTTCATCGCAAATTCATGCATGCAACCACATGCTCCAGCCCCGCCGGTTGGCTTCCCTCCATTGAATGGTTTGCTACTCTGCTCTGTCGCTCGTAAACTTCTGCCGGATTCTTGAGACAAATAACGGAGGGACTTTGTGATCCGTAGCTTCGAGACACCTCAATAAATCTGGGGCGTCATGGGCATGGCCCCAGCTCAAGTCCCACCATTTCTTCTTGAGCACGCCTTCTGATGTTTCACTAGGCCGTGTGAGCTTTCCGATCGCACCGATCGCGCCGCTCACTGTCTCTAACGTCCATTTTGGATTGGCTGCGCTGCTGCACACTTAGACCCGAAAGCTCTTGCGCGTGAGAAGCGCCATGTCAATCGCCGTATCAGCGAAAGCCTTTGGGGTCCTCGCGGGCAAGCGGGGAGCCCTAAAGCTTCATAGGGCGTGGAGCGTTTTGTGTCCCACTCAGGGTTTCCGCAGTGTTGATGCAGCAGCTGGGGCTGTCGTTGGCTGTTGTGCCCCTTCAAACGTACAGAGCAGCAGCTGCCGCAGCGGTCTCGAGAAGAGCAGCAGCAGTGGCACTTGCAAGAGTAGCTCGTGCTATGGCGACAGCGCAGGGCAGAGAGGAAGCAGCGCGTTAGCGCTGGCTGCGACGGGTTTGTCGCTGTGCATCCTTGGCTGGAGCAGCAGCAGCAGGAGCAGCAGCAAGAGGAGCAGCAGCAGCGTTGCCCACTGCCTCGCTCCCGCTGCGTCGGGAGCGTCTCAAGTGTACGTGTGGGGCTCCAACATTGACGGGCAAGTCGGAATGGGCTCCGCTCTCTCAGTTTCTTTTCCCGTGCTGCTTTCTTCCCTCCCGCTGAGGCCTGGGGAAACAGTCGTGGCGCTTTCGGGGGGCCCCCGGCACTCCGCATGCATCACCTCGGAAGGCCGCGTCTTTTCGTGGGGAAGAGGAGCTGCGGGGAACTGCGGGGGCCTGGCTGCTGCAGATGGCCCCAGGGAGATAGTGCTGCCGCTGCAGCAGGGGGACCGGCCGGTGTCGGTGTCTTGCGGGAATGGCTTTTCGCTGGTGGTGACGGAGCAGGGGCACTTGTACACGTGGGGCAGCAACAGCCACGGCCAGTGCGGCCGCGCGTCTCAGGAAGCAGCAGCTGAGCAGCAGCAGGGGCGGCCGGGGGCCCCCCCGTACCGGCTGGAGGGCCTGGGGAGCCGGGACGTCTTCGGGGGCCGCTCGCGGGGGCCCCCCTGCCTGCCCCCAGGCCGAGTCGAGGGGCCCCTCGCTGCGGAGAAGGTCGTGGGGGCCGCCTGCGGGGACAGAGTCTGCGCCGCAGTGACGGCCGCAGGCGAAGTCTTCGTGTGGGGCGAGGCGAGGACTGGGGGGCCGCTGGGGCTGCGCGCTGGCGAGGGCCAGCGGCCATCTCACGAGCCCCGCCGCGTGGCGCTGCCCGCGGAGGCCGGGGGCCCCGCGCGGGCCACTGCAGTGGCCTGCGGGGAGAGCCACTGCGTGGCGCTGAGCGAGGGGGGCCTCGTGTACTCCTGGGGGAGCAACTGCTACGGCCAGCTGGGGCTGGGGGGGGCCCCCCGCACGGTGGAGGCCCCCCAGCTGGTCACCGCGCTGCGGGACCAGCGGGTCGTGGCCGTGGCTTGCGGCGCCCAGCACAGCCTTTGCCTCACGCAGGACGGCAGAGTCTTCGTCTGGGGCTACGGCAAAGACGGCCAGTGCGCAGACTCCACTCACCTGGACATCCCTTTGCCCCGGAAAGTGGACTTCGCCGCCTCCCCCGAGGGCCCCCCCGTGGGGCCCTGCACGCGCATCAGCGGCGGCGAGGGCCACAGCCTCGCAGTGTGCGGGGGGGGCAGGCTCTTCGTGTGGGGCCGCGGGCGCGAGGGCCAGCTGGGGCGGGGGGGCCTCCTCGAGAGCCCGGCAGCCTCTCGAGACGTTCCCGTCGAGGTCTTCGTTGCTGAGGGCCAAAAGGTCGCTTTGGCCTCCTGCGGGGGCTGCCACACTATTGCAGCCACGCGGCCAGACAACGCGTGACCAGTGGTCACCCGCGCTTCGCGCGGCCACACACCGAGACGGCGCTGCTGCTGCTGCTGCTGCTGCTGCGGCATCTGTGCACAGGGTGTCCGCTGCGTTCTCAGCAGAACGCACACAAACTGCCTCCAGCTTCGAACGTAAGAGGCAGGAGCATAGAAACGGGTTGTTTTTTTGCTAGAGACTCTGCTCGCCACTCAAGGGGGGCCCCTCTTTCCATCCACAGGGGGCCCCCGCCTGAAGCGAGAGAGAGCAAAAGCCAACGTTACCCACTATCCGGCACGCTGCTTATTTTCTGTGCGCTAGAAGGTATCTCACTACAGTAAGCAGCCCCTGCAGTGGGCATAGCGTAGCACAGTTGTAGTCACTGCAAGCTAGCTGCGTCGGCTCTATTAACAAGTGCGGCCATAAAACAAGGAAAGGGAGTGGAGTCAAAAAAAGGCAGCTATGTATCTGCACTCGGAACAGCGGCTGCGAGTGAGGAAACTCTAGCGCGCCCCCCTGCATGCGGGGTCAGCAAGAGGAGCTAACAGGGGCAGCGCCTGCCTACACGTTTTAAAAAATACTCCGCTATGAGACACCCCCGCATTCCTGACAGAACAAAGGATGGGCCAACCAAATGCCTGAGGGCAGTTCGTCTCAAAGACGGGTTTGGGGTGTCAAGGCACTCCCTGCGCTGTACATGCACCCCAGCCACATCGCTCCAGCCGCACATGTCGAAGGACGAGGCCGTGCTCTTCTTGCCAGAGCCCCGGACAGCAACAGAAACGCACCCCGGAGTGGAAGCAGCAGCAAACAACACTGCAGCCGCTGTTGCTGCAGTGGCTAGTGCTGGTGCTGCTCTCTCTGAAGCAGCAACAGCAGCACGAGCTGAGTTTGTGGCCTAAGGTCACCTATTGGACCTCCGGCTAAAGTTCCTCAAGGACTGAGGCGGGACCGCTCCCAGTCGAACCCAACAAGTCTTTCGCCATCAACTCTTCTGCGTCAAAGCGCGCAATGCCTCGAACGCGAATACTGAGCCACTTCAGCATATCTCGCGTGCTTCTGTCCCCCGTATACAGCACGGGCTCTTTATCCCCCTTCCTGTAAAGGTAAAGGGTCGGGTACCCAGCAATAACCACCCCTTCGACTTCGTTTCGCGTGGCGTCAATGCGCGCAATGACCAGCCCAGAGACCCCCGCGACTCTCTTGGCCAGTTCTTTGTAGGCAGGCTCCATTTTCCGGCAGAACCCGCACCAAGGAGCGTAAAACTCGACAAGTACATTTGGCTCTTTCCGCACCTCAGTTGCAAATGTGGAAGCCACCAGGGTCCGAACTTTCCCCCGCGGCTCCGGCACCTCGGGGGGGGTCTCAGACCTGAAGTACGGAGAAAGCTGCTGCGAAAGCACTGCGGAAACAAAGGCCTGCAAGGCCTGCTCCACAGCCTCCTTGCCCTCGGAAGCTGTGGGCAAAGGGGAGGCAGGCCGGAACTTCTTCGCAGGGTGCTGGGGCCCCTCTGTGTTGTGGCTGACCCGCATGACGCGCACTTGAGGCAGCGTCTCGTCTTCAACTCCCAAGAGGCTCATGAGCTGCTTTTCGAAGTTTTTGCTGTTTCCCGAGACAGCCGCAGCCACAGAGGCCCGGTTCCTCTCGGCGACGGCGCGGAAGGCAGCCAGGAGAGGGTCCTTGGAGTCTGTCTTCTCGACTTCCTTCAGCGTGGCCTCGTGTTTGCTCGAGTCCAGCAGCAGCATGAGCTTGGGGCGGGGGTCGCTGAAAAAGCTGCTGCCGATGCTGTCCGAGTCGAAGACGGAAACCCCGGGGAAGAGCCACTGGCGGATGAAGGAGCGCAGCGCGTTCACTTCGTCTACAGAACCTTTGTAAATGTGCACCCCCACTTCGCCCTTGTGAGGAGTGAAGACCACCACAAAGGGAGGCTTCAGCTGCCGCGTGGTCTCAGTTTTTCCCCTCTCCTCCTCGGGCAGGCGAGGCAGCACGTGGGAGTCCACCAGTCGAGTCGCGAGCTCCGGATCTGTTGTGTCTGCAAACAAAACTTCCTCCCCAAAGGCCCTGGCGACGGCCTGGAAGCTCCCGCGGTTGTAGTGCGGGGGGAAGGCCGCAACCACCACCACGTGCCCGTCTTCGCTGCTGCGGCTGCTGTTCACGAGTTCGTCCAAGTGGGCTGGCGAGGCCACTTGCTTGTCGCGGTCCACCTTCAAGTCCACCCAGTGCACCATGTGCGTCCTGTAGCGCCTGCCTTCGTACAAATGGCCCACCCCCTCCACGTAGAGCCGGATCGTCGGGTACTCTCGGATGTACTCTTGGTTGCAAAGGTCTTCGTTGTCAGTGCAGTCGACCTTCGCGCCCACCACCGGGGGGCTGTGGTGCGACAGCAGTTTGGACACAGCGTCTAGCTCGGGCAGTGCAGAGCGAGACCAGTAGCACCAGGGCGCGTAGAACATCACCAGCGCCAGCGAGTGCGCCGCGATGAAGCTGTTGAATGTTTCGCCATTGAGGGCCACCACCCCGCCCTCCGCTCCAGCCTTCTCCTCCGCCGCAGCCGTTTCCTTCTGCTCCTCGCGATACACACTCTGCTCGGATTGCGCGCCTTCTTCAGATGCGAAGACGCTCACAATAATGCAGCAAGCAGCCAGGAAGAAGGCCGTTGCCAGCAGCACCAACGACGGCGCTGTCTTCGCTCGTCTGGGACCCGCGGGCCAGACGCCAGCTTTAGAGAACATCACCATTTCTTCAAAGGGAACGATGTAGACAAAACAAGATGGAAGGGAAGGTCAGAGGCTGTACGCATCCGGGAGCCGCACCGACAGCGCCAGGGCCCCTTGGGAGGCGCAACACGCCTGTTTTTTCGCTGGATTGGGAGCTCCCGAGTAAAGATATTGAAAAAGAAAAAATAGCAGCCAATGGCATGAAAGTTGACGGAAAAGCGCAGACGGGATGCGGCGGCCAAGAGAACGAAGAGAGGAAAGCAGCCGCCGCTGAAACACCCTGAAGCCTGCGCATGAAACAAATCAGCCAAGATGATTAACGCGTGTTGCTTCCCATCTAAACATCTAAATTATACACCAACCAACGCCAAAAACAAACAACTCCGACAGCAGTGTTTGGCCCGCGCCAACAACTAGGCAAGAGTCGTAGCTGGATAACACGACACCTGCAGCCCACACGCGAGCCACACATGCACAGGAAGCCTGATTCCGGAAAACTCCGTTTATTTATGGAGTTTTCCACTCTAGGACACGGTGCGACGACATACACTTCATTGATGGATTGCGACAAACACAACAATACTTCAGCGAACGCTGTACCCCCGATGCGTCTCCGCTACTCAGGAGCTTTAGGTGGCCATAAGGCAGCCCTCGACACTGCAGGCTCCTGCTCAAGCTTACCTGATGGCGGCATTTCGCAGTTTAGCTGCAGATTTGCATTTCCTTACCTCTGGGCTTCAAGCTGCTGATAGTTGCAAATTCACATTCCAATGCTAGTGTTACGTCTAGCAAAAGAGAAGGTTCAACGCCATCTGCGGATCGAGCACGGGGTCCTATTCCGCCACGTGCACTTAGGCGCTAGCACTGAACTGCATGTCAAGTCTTCTTCATCGTGCATTTTTATGCATGGTGATGAAGACTGGACTTGAACAGTTTCTGCTCTCAGACAGAGCATGACACTTGTAGAAAACACTAGTGTCGAACCCTGAAGTGTTGACGTAAAACTTGTTGTCATGCTTGCGTAGACTGGTGCGTACGCAGAAAGCTGCAGAAGTCGGCACCCACATGGCAGTGTGCTCTCCGCAGGAGCTGAAGACGCCCCTACTTCGATACTTTGGAAGCCTGGCAACAGGAATTGCAGCTCATAATAACGAAGTTTTCCCAGGGTAGCCTTCGAGACGAGGCACTGAGTACGGCTGAAGAAGCAGACAAAGGGCCATTATGTGAAAGCTTTCTTAAACGCTCATGAGAGCACCAACGAAACTCGCAAACTATGCACTTTTCGCAACCAGAACTGAGACGTTATGTTCACTGTCTCTTTCCTAAGCACTCACCTCTCATCCTGTCGATACCGCAACAGCATTGGCGCCGAGTCGAACTTTTGCGTCAAAAAGAGAAAAGCTTACAAAACTGTCAGATTAAGCTGCCCATGGCTCTCACTAGGCGCTGCGAGTTTGCGCTGCCCATGGCTCTCACTAGGGGCTGCGAGTTTGCGCGGAAGTGATTTGTGAGCATTCACAGCTGGTTCAAGACTGTGATTACTCCTTTCTTTTCTTGTCCGCCTTCACTAAATGCTACGCGGCACGTGCAGACAGTGAAGCTCCTGGTAGCACTCTATTCATCTCTAGGCTGTAGTAAATACTGATACTGGCGCATTATGCTACACTACGGACTTCGTGGCCGAAAGTCCTTGACTTGAAATGCTATTATGACTGAGCGCTGAGTCGCCCTATCCCCTTCCCAGAAAAACTAAGACGCTTGCCGCCGTCGAAGACGATCTACAACCACAAAGTACTTCCGACACACTTCGCTTCATGCGATTCATAAGTAAGACAAAAGCAGTTAGAGGGAAAGATCTTACAATTGCGCCTTTAAAAAGCGACCCTCAACGACTCAGTAAGGCAGAAAAGAAACGGCAGCTATTAACTGCAAAATGGGAAGGTATGTGCTGCTTATTCCCCACTGCCAGAGCTAGCCATCGGCAGCGCCAGCGTAGCCTAACTGATGTCGGAGGTGGCAGCGCATGCAGTGCTCGAGCACTGTACTGGTCAGTAGAAGTTCAGAGTGAGAGGAGAAGAAATTCACCGCGGTGTTATAAGGCCAGGCAAGTGTAGTTCCCATGAGATAGAGAAAAAAGAATATCAGCGTAGGAAGTGCAGTTTTGCTTCTAGTGCCATCCCAACCACCCCAACATCCACTGTGTGGGCACGATTACTATTGTGCAGGTAAGTCAATACGATTTTGGCCAGAGCCGTCGGCCTCGGTAACACTGGGGAAATGTCCACCCAAGAAAAGGCCACCTGCAGTTCTCAGCCACAAAGTCAACTCTTACTTGCGAAGGGTCGTATTCAGTACTGCGGAATTTACCCTTGATGCACCGATACTTGATTTGGTTGCTGTCGCTGCCGTTGCTCAGATTTTAAGTGGCTCCTGCGGATCCTTGCAGCAGGAAATCTAGCAGCGCCAGAGAATATTCTGAATTATCTGCACGTGCAACACCCGAGGGTGACTAAGGGTCCTTCTTTAAGAGTTGGATGGAGCGGTAGAGGCAAGCTAGGAATGCTGTGGGGTTCAAGAACAGATGGAACAATAAGCACAGCCAAAAAAAGAACATTCACGAAATTCCACTCCTCTGCAGCCAACTACGGCATTCAACGGCGGTAGCGAGCCGATGTGCGTCTTCTGCGGTTTCGTTGCTTTCTTCTGGACGTTGGCCTTTCCCCTGCAGAAGCTGGTAAATATGACTGAGTCTGCTGTTGTTCTTGTTGATCCCTCAAGTCCTGAGAAGCGCCGTTTACGACGGCCTCCGTTTCTGCAGCCGGAGAGCTATCTTCAAAAAGCAAGGGAGGCCTGCCGTTGGCCTCTACTGGACCTGCCACGCGGGCGCCTGGCTGCTGCTGCTGCGCCAGCGGAACACCCCTAACAACCAGGCACGGCAAGGATCCCAGATTTAGGCTGTCTCGAGACGAGACTCCGGAGCTGTCTGCATCATATGGCCTTTCATCGCAAGGGTTCGCGCAGCCAGTGCAGTTTGCAGCGCATGGGGTGTCTATTGAACTGTCAGAGTCGAGCCAGATCCAAGTAGCTTTCTTTTTCCTCCCCTCTTCAGCACTCCACAAACCAACGGAGGATGGTGTGGATGGGCGCTGGGCAGCAGGACGCGCTGTCTGTGCAGCTGCAGGAGCGTCTGTGATCATTTTGCGAGATGTCTTCTGATAGAACATGTCCCAGAAAGCTTCGGGACTCATAGCGCTTTGAGGCGCCGCAGAAGACGGGCGACGATCCCGTCCCGCTGCAGCAGCGGCAGCTGCTGCTGCTGCCGCTCCCGGCACGCTTCCTGCTGCAGGCTGGAACTGACGAACCACCGCAGCATCCAGCGGGGCCTGTAGACAAGAAGCCTCTTTAGAGGCAACGGCGTCGAGCCCAAAAACGTCTGGCCTTCTGCTTCCGGGAAGAGGAGATGTGCTCCGAAGGACAGCCTTGAAACAACAAGGAGCTGGGCTTAGCTGCGGCTGCAGTAGCAGCTCCTGCTGCTGTTGTTGCTGCTGATGCTGTTGCTGCTGCTGCTGTTGCTGCCGCAGCTCTTGTTGCTGTTGTTGTGGAGCTTGCTGCGCCTTGGCCGGCGCAGCAGCAGCAGATGCTCCCTCAGCTGCCCCTTGAGAAGCGTCGACAGGGGATTTCCTGTTTCTGGCGGCTTTTGCAGCTGCCCTTGACATGGGAAGAGGCATGGGGGCACTGTTAAGAGGGCCATTGTCCCTGGAACTGCTGCTGCTCTCTGTCACCCACTCTGCGGAATCGCTGCTTCCTGTGCAGCTGCTGCTGCTGCCTCGGCTTCCCCAGGCTCTTAGCCTGAACTTTTGCCTCGCCGCAGCTCCACCCTCCCGAGTGGCACCCGCAGTGACCCGCGGCCCCCTTTTGTTGAACACTTGAGCCTCTGGCCTTGCAGCTGGCTGTGCTGGCGGAGCTTTTGCGCCATCTCCTGCTCTGGAAGGAGTGGCTGCTGCTTCTGAGCCTTTGCAGGTCCCCTGAGAACTGCAGGGAACTCTGGCGCCTGAGTCGTCCTGCAGGGACAACTTGCCGAAAAGCAGCGACAAGTGGAGGGCTTGGCTGTCTGCAGAGCCCTCTGGAAGATCACTGAGAGATCCTATTCTTTCGAGAAGGCTTAGGTGGAGGTTTTCGCTGTTCCGCTCCTGCTCAGCTAGCTGCTGCCGAATGGACAGGGGGGGCCTGCTGTCGCTTCCGCCTCTTGCTGCTGCTGCTGCAGCGCTCGCCTGCTGCTTCCCGCGAGCTGCCTTTTCTGTGGAGCTGCTGTGCTGCGGAGAGTCAGCCTCAAGGGAAAGCTTCTCGAGCAGCGACAGGTGCAGCGCCTCGCTTTCTTCGCCGCTGCTCAGCCTCTCCAGAAGACTGAGGTGGAGAGTCCCACTTAAGTCTCTGTCCCGTTGCAGAAGAGCCTCTTTGATGTCCTTTGGCTCTGTTGAAGCCAGCCGCTGCAGCAGATCGATCCGCTGCAGCGCCACGGGCGGCAGCGCCTGCGACACCTGCTGAGGCTGCGGCTGCTGCGGCCGCTGCGGCTGCTGCGGCTGCTGCGGCTGCTGCTGCGGCGCTCCCGCAGGGCTGCGCGGCTGCTCTCCCTGCTGCCGCTGCTGCTGCTGCTCGGGTGTTCTGACTTCTACAAGCAAGTCAATTGAAATGAGGCGCAGCAGCTCCTGAAGGAACCTTTCGAAATCGCAGGAGCCGCCAGAAGAGCTCGACAACTCCTCCACAACCTGCAGTGTACGAAACCCCGTAAACCCCAGCACAGAAACAAACCCTAAGCCCGAAACAATTATTTCAAAAGACTCTTTTCGTAGGCACTTGCGCAGAAAGCAGAAGTATGGCCAGGAAAGTTTCGTAAAGCGGAATGTTTCAGCCCAAGTTGAAGACCACTGGACACTCCAGGACTCAAGACTGGGCCACTCCTCCTGACCGGCTGCGCTGCTTGGCGTGGAGCGCTCGGGGGAGGTTCTATTACGGGCATTTCAAGCAGCGCGTCAGTGGCGTTTGCTGCAGGCAAGCGAAGCAGCAGACAGGCAAGTCAGCAGCAGAGGCACTGCACTCAAAAGGGAAGTTTATGACAAGGAAATGCAAAAAAGGATCCTTTTAAAATGTGATTTTGCTCGCTTCTTTGGCTGCCGTTGCTCTGCTACGGGTATTACGGAAATGGCTACGAACCCGCAGCTGTGGCGAGAGCCACGGCTTCTTCGAAGTTTTTGTAAGCCATCCTTTCGAGCTCTAGGAGAGCACTAATGGCCCTTTCCCTCAGGTACTGGGGGTAGTTGGCTTCCCCCGGGGTCGTCTGAGAAGGTATGAAAACAATTTTCAAATTCTTTTCCACTGAAACGCGGGAGAAAGAAGCATGCAGCAGCAAAAGGAGCAGCAGGGCAGACGCGCAGCAAACGGAAGATAGCCTATCGAAGCATGTGGCTGCAGCGGCCTACCTCGCTCTCAGGCATGTTGCATTTCCCTGCAGATGGGCTGCTGCCATCTCTGGGCAAAGGCTCTTGAGGCCCCCCCTCTCCAACAGCAGCCTCCACAGGCTCTTCTCTTGGGGGCTGCTGCTGCGCGGGGCCCCTGCTGTTGAGGCCGCTGTTGTTCTTCCTGTTGCGGCGAGCCATGTTACTTACTGGGAGCAGGAAAAGAAGCGCCAGGCCAGGGCTGCTTTGAGTGTTCTGGGGAAAGACCGTCTAACGAACCAGTCGCTGCTGTTCTTCTCCTGTCAAGCCAAAACCACCCAAATATGATTAAAGTTCCCAAAAATCACTGGGGTGGAGATACAGGGAAGACACAGACAGGCTGAAGGCAAAAACCGGGCACTGGACCGGTAAATGGGCAATACGGTGCAACAGTTGAAACCTCGAAGTTCCTTGCAGTGCGGGCACCGGAAGAAGACGATTAGGGCAAAACCGTAGCAGAAGAGGAAGTCAACGAGGAAAGAAACAGCTCGAACAGACCAATCGCAAACAGAAATATGAAATGCTCCGCTTTCCGCACTCTTGGCAGGTGGTATAGTGGAACGGAGGGCTTTAAATTTTAGCTTAGCACTGAACGTGAGACTAGGCAAAGGTGGTTAAGGGATATTGAAGCGCGAATTATGCCTCCAGATAGCCTTAAGGAAGTAAAAACTTAAAACAAATTAGAAATGCCCTTGTAGGCACAGTAAGGAGCAGTAGGAGAACAAAGGCTCAAATGCCTTAGAGCGCCGTAAGGCGCCCCCGCGGAGCACGGGGCAGACCCAGCAGAAGCAACTATATAATATGCACTTTCTACGCTAGTAATAAGAAGAACAGAAGAAGAAATTAGAAGTTATTTAAAAAGAAATATAAAACTGTGCAGTGAGACTACAGCTTTCCGCACGGGTAGTGGAGGTGCCGGCAGTGCGGGGACCGCGAGCTGCGGGGGGAGGGCAGACTCCGCTCGAGGCTAAAGTCCCAAGGGCTTGGCTGTTGTTCTGTTGTTATTTATTTCCAGTCTATTTTACATGAAAAACTGGACTAAACGAGTGCAAGCTGAGCTGCGGAGACGCATGAGTCGCTATCTCAGTGAGGGACGGGCCAGAATGGGCCAGAGTGACTTCCCGTGAGGTCACTTCCAGGGTCACTTACAGGGTCACCCGGTACAGCCCGCTGTGGACCAGAATGATAAGAACAAAAGCAGAAATAAAATAATTAATAAAATTAATTAAGTTTATATTAGCGCACTAACATTAGCGAGCTGCCTTTAGTTCCCGGTGTCCGTCGCCAGCACCATACTCGTCCTGCTCAACTCTCGAGCGAACCAGTCACCTCCGCACCATCCGAAATAATTAGTTTTGGAGAACGTATTTGAAATTTAAAAATTGAGCAGCAGACTTCTTTGTAAAAAGTGGTTATTTATTTTCCGTTACATTGTTGCGATACTTCAAACCTCCCCAGAGAGCGAGCAGAGCAGCAGCCACTTGCTCTTGCTGGCTGCTTGCCCTCAGGATAAGCCGCAGCAAGCAGCCAGCATAACATGAGTAGCTACATGCGGTAAAGACACAATTTATTTTCAATTTTGTCATCAAGACAACAACTAAACAAAAACAAGTTCGGCTGGTCCAGCTCAGCCCCCCATATGGCACATTCCACACCCTGCTGGCACTCAAAAGGAAACAAACTGTACAAGTGCCCTGGTGTTTAGGATTCCTCTAGAGGGCTAATCCTAAGCAGCCCCTGCAGGCCCTGTGGCTGCTGTTTGCTGCTGCTGCTGCTGCTGAGGCGCCGCAGCTGTTCGAAATAATTGCACTAAACAAGCCAGACTGCATGCGTTTAAGAGGGGGCTCACACATAAGAAAGGGAACAGCACTTCACCAATAAGAGGCAGCAGTGTGGGTCATGTACAGGAAGACACATTGGCTTGGGGCAGCAGCCAAAGGCGCAGCAAGCGAAGAAAACCCAGTAACAAATGAAGTCCCAGCAAAGCCCCCACTCCCCCCACTCAGTGAGGGGCTTGAGGAACACAAAATGTAAAGAGAATCCAACAGACTGCATGCATCAAGCAGCAAAAAGCTGCAGCAAAGTGTTCCCGGGGAACCTTCAGGCCAGCAGCGTCGCCTGCTCGAAGTGCTGAGCTCCAGCAGGCCCTTATGTATGCTTGATGATGAGGAGAACAAGCTGCAAAAGAAAACCCCCTGCAGCAGCAAGTGCAGCCTTAAGTCTTTTGCCAGACTGGGCGAGGAAGCAAAGACAGCAGCAGCAACAGCAGCAGCAGCAGCAGCAGAGCACTACGCGCGGGAAGCAAATGCGCGGGTTTGCAGCCAAAGCGCGTCTGCTGCAGCGAGCTGGCGCGGTGTACAGACACCCGGGAATGCGCTGCAGCTGCAGCCGCTGCGCCTGCAGCTCACAAGAAAAAAGATTGTCAGCGAAAGAACGTAAATGCACTTTGCTGCAAAGCCGCTTCGCCGGCTCTGCTCAGCTTTTTGAATCTCCCGAGTTGCTTCTGAAGACTGGTGCGCCACCTGCTCCAAGTTGTAGTCAATTCGGTCCAGCAGAGTGCCCTGGACTCAGACGCAGCAGCAGCGCAGCAGCAGAATGAAGCCACAACAGCAGCCGCAGCAGCAGCACGCGCCGCCGCAGCTAGCTCGCGGCTGGCTGGTGGCTAGCTGGCCGTTAGCTGGTGCATAGATGGTGGCTAGCTAGTGGCTAGCTAGCTAAGGAGCCCCGTAAGGACTGCGAGCTGCTCTGCAAATGAAACAAACAACTTTATTTCCAGAACTTTCAGCAGCAGCCTCAAAAGAAACAAAAACATTAACCACTAGCTGCTTCAGCAGCAGACAGCGCAGCCACTGGCGCGCAGGTGTACGTACACCGCAGCTGCGCCTCCGGCCGCTTCGGCACACAGCAGCAAACACTCACTTGTTCAATGACAAGAGTTGCTGTGTCTTTGAAAAGCTGGTGAAGCTCCGTGACAGACTGCGCCACTTTGGCAATCTCCTGCAGCAAAAGTGACGCACAGAAGCAGCAGCAGGGGCCCCCACAGCTGCAGCAAGAAGAACAGACTCCGCGGGGGCGCCGCGAGACAAAAAAGAAAAGACAAATGACTCTGAGACAGTTTCTTCTGCGAAAAGTCCACTCTTGTTCAAACGACTAGGCCTCCAAACGCTTAGAGTTTTATTTGCTTTTTGAACTTTCGCAGGCAACAGCACACAGCAGCAGAAAGCAGCAGCAGAAAGCAGCAGCAGAAAGCAGCAGCAGAGAACAGCAGTAGAAAGCAGCAGCAGAAAAGAGCAGCAGGAAGCAGCAGCAAACGGACAGCAGCAGAGAGCAGCAGCAACGGAAAGCAGCGGCAGCAGAAAGCACGAGCAGCAGCAGAAAACAGCAGCAGCAAAAAGTAGCAGCAGCAGCGAGCAGCAGCAGCAGCAGCAGAAAGCAGCAGCAGCAGAAAGCAGCAGCAGCAGCACCCACCTCCCTCCGGACGTCTACGTCGCACTCGAGGACTTCCAACTCGGCCATCATGTCGTCGCTGAGTCCCTGCGGCGCCCAGCAGCAGGCAGCAAACACTTAGGCAACAGCAGCAGCAGCAGCAGCGAAGCAGCAGCAGCAGCAGCAGCAGCGAAGCAGCAGCAGGCCCCGCTGCAGCCAGCAGCAGAAAACAGCAAAGACGAAGTGTGAGAGTTTCCAAAAAGCTGCTTCCGGGTGCATGCGCAGCAACAGCAAGTTCTCATGGGGAACTGCAAATGTGGAAAAAGAAAAAGATAAAAATGAAAAAGAAAAATGAAAAAGATAAAAAACAAAAAGCTGCAAATGCTGCAGCAGAACTGACTCGCTGCATCGACAAAGATGCTGCTGTGGACTCCTGAGCATCAGGAAGCAAATCATCTCCCTGAGACCTTCGTCGAATTTCTGCACACAAAACCCTAAACCCTCGCACAAACCCTCATCTCAAAACCCTCCCTCCAAAACCCTAAACCCTCACACAAACCCTCAACTCAAAACCAAAACCCCTTTGCTGCTCCCAGCCCCGCAGCAGCTCTCCCCAGCCTCCATCTAGCAGCCACTCTTTTCAGCTCCTTCATTTCCCGCTGCAATAGCTAGTGGGGTACCCCTGGGGGCCCCCTGGGGGCCCCCCTGGGGGCCCCCTGGGGGCCCCCCTGGGGGCCCCCTTGAGGGCTCTCCTGGGGGACCCCCTGGGGGCCCTCTTGACGGCCTCCCTGGAGGCCCCCTGGGGGTCCTGCGGGGGCCCCGAGGGGGCTCCCGTGAAAACCCCGTGGGGGCCCCCGGAGGAATCCCCGTGGGGGCCCCCTTGGGGGCCCCCCTGGGGGCCCCCTTGGGGGCCCCCAGGGGGGATGTGGGCCTGTGGGGCTTGCCTTCCAAGTAAGCTTTTTGCTGCTGCCGGAAGGCCTGGCTGAGGCCCTGCAGCTGCGCTGCAACAGCTTTTTGGGCATTTTGCTGCATCAGAGAATCTGTTGCTGAGCCCTGGAAGGGGCCCCGGGGGCCCAGCTGCTGCAGCTTGGCTTCGCAGCGGTGAAAGAGCTGCAGCAGCAGCACAAAAGCGCACTTGCTGCTGAGGGCACTGCAGCAGCAGCCAGCAGCAGCAGCAGGGGGCCCCTAGCTGCTGGCTTTCCACAAGTTCTGGGAAATGCTGAAGCAGCCAAACTGCAGCAAAGCTGCAGCCAAAGGGCCCCCGCCACAGGCACACAAGGCAAGCGGGGAGAGGCCCGCGCAGTGCAGCAGCAGCAGCAGCAGCAGCAGCAGCAGCAGCAGCAGCAGCAGCAGCAGCAGCCTGCCTGGGTGACGTGGGCAGTTTGGGTGTCGATTTCTCTTCCTATGGCTGTCTCTCCATAAGAGTCCCCAAAGACCTGCAGCAGCCGCCGCTGCTGCACCTTCTGCAGCTGCCCCACTGCGCAGAAGCAGCAGCAGCAGACTCGCACCCCTAAACCCTAAACCCTAAACCCTAAACCCTAGGCGCCCTGGCCGCTGCTGCTGCGCCTTATGCTGCTGCCCCTTCGAGCAAAAGCCGCAGCGGCAGAACTCCCCTTAACCCCAAACCCTAAACCCTAAACCCTAAACCCTAAACCCTAAACCCTAAACCCTAAACCCTCCGTTGCTGCAGGCCGGCGTAAAGCAGCGCCCGCTGCCCGCCCGCAGCAGCCGGCACAGCCCGACCCTCCAGGACCCCCCCCAGCAGCAGCAGCAGCAGCAGCAGTAGCAGCAGCAGCAGCAGCAACAGCAGCAGCAACAGCAGCAGCAGTGTACTTCTTTCTTTGAGATGCGCTATGTCATCGTGCAGCTCTTCGAGCGCGTCCACCTGCAGCCGCAGCAGCCCAAGCCCTCAAGCTTACCGTAAACCCTAAACCCTAAACCCTAAACCCTAAACCCTAAACCCTAAACCCTATTTTTAAACTGGAAAGAATTAAACGCACCCAGCGGGGAGGCAGCCGATGGCTGGGTACCCCCAGCTCTTCATCATCTGCTTGGAAGGAGAGGAGCCGCTGCTGGCCTGCAGGCGCCACGCCGCAAACCCTAAACCCTAAACCCTAAACCCTAAACCCTAAACCCTAAACCCTAAACCCTCGGCGCAGGGGCCCAGCTTACGCGTTGCTGCTCTGCTGGTGGGGCTGGGAAGGCAAACGCTGGGCTTTGTGAAGCGAAGTTTCTTTTCTTTTATTTGGGCCTTGAAGCGGAAAAAGAGGGGACTCAAGTCCCGAAACGCCAGAGAAGCAGCCATTGCTGCTGCTGCTGCTGCTGCTGCTGCTGTTGCTGTTGCTGCTGCTGCTGCTGTTGCTGCTGCTGCTGCTGCTGCTGCTGCGGGTGACGCGTTGGTTCTTGCTGCTCGGCTGCTGGGTGCTTCTGCGGCCAGTGAGGGCCCCTGATGCCGGTGCTGGGGACAGGCCGCGCTTGCTGTTCTTGCTGCTGCTGCTGCTGCTGCAGTTCCTCCTGCTGTGGGTTGCTGCTGCTGCGCAGCGTCTGCGGCAGGTCTTGCTGCTGCTGCTGCTGCTGCTGCTGCTGCTGCTGCTTTTACGCCTCAGAAGGCCTGCTTCGCCGGCCACAGAGTCCTTCGAGTCATGGGCCAATGAATTCCCCCGGGCTGCTGGGGGCCCCTCAGCTGTATGCTCCCAGAACCCCTTTGGCTAGGGGCCCCGTCCAGTTGGGGGCCCCCCAGCCCTGCGGAGTGGCCAGCGTTGTGAATTGAAGTTCCAAAACTGAAAATTATGAATTTGCTGCAAAAAATGAATCTGGATGCAGCGCGAAAGCTCGGGAAATGGCGGCTGCTAGTTGGGGTGTCTGTACACCGCAGCCGCCTCAAACGCCGGTGTGCAGCGCAGAGCAGCAAAACGCGAGGAAGCAGCTTCGAAGTGAACTTTGAAAACTTGACTGCGCAAACTTCATAAAAACTTTAATAAACAAACCTAGAAAAACACTTAGAGGCCTAGGAGGCCCTTTTCCCAGGTGTACCTACACCCAGTTTACGGAGCAGCGCCCTCGGGGGCCCCCCTGGGGCCACCTGGGTAGTTAAGGGGCACCATATTACTTGTTTTTTCTTAACTATTTCACTTCTCTTTATCTCCCAAAGACCAAAGTCTATTTTGTGTTTAAAATGCATGTTTAATACTGTCTCGGGGCCCCCCTGTAGCTTGAAACGAAGTGACCCAGCTGCAGCGAGCTGGCCATACAAAAGCTGCACGCCCAGCCGCTATACCTCTGGGCTACTTCTATAGGGGCCTCCTGTTGCTGCGCCCGCAGCTCCTGTGGCCAGAGAGAGCCTGGGGGGCCTCCACAGTCTGCTGCTGCTGCTGCAGCAGCAGCTGCTGCTGCTGCTGCTGCCCGCTGCTGCAGTGTAGGTACTCCCCGTCCCCGCTGCAGCAAGCTCCTTGGAGCTAGGCAGCAAACGCGTGTGCCCAGGGGCGCCCTGGAGGCCACCTGAGCTGCAGCAGCGCGCACCCTCATGGCAGCAGCAGCAGCAGCAAAAGCTAAGCTACCTCGTCACAATTCGGAGCTGCAGCTGCTGCAACTGCTGCAGGCAACACTCCGAAAGAGCTGCTGCGCTGCGGCTCCAGAGCTGACGCTCGCTGGGGTGTACGTACACCTGAAGAGCGGCGCCGCCGCGGCCGCCCGTGGGGTGTACGTACACCTGAGGGCCGCGGAGCGTCAGGTGTACGTACACCCCGCGGGGGCCCCACAGACGCAACAGCTAGCTAGCTGGCTATTAAAGATGCAGGAGCGCTGCGATATCGCGGCGGCCCTTCGTTGGTTGTAAAAACAAATTAAGTTCTAGAGAAGTGGCTGACAGAAGCAGCAAAACCGAGCCACAGCTAGCTGCAGCATTTGCTGCACGCGCGTCGCCAGCCAGTTCCGTGGCTAGCTGCCTAGCTAGCTGCCTAGCTAGCTGCCTAGCTAGCTGCCTAGCTAGTCAGCTCGCTGGGCCCGATCTTCAAGCCCGCGCCAACAAAAGCTTTCCTTCAGTTACAGTTGCTGCTTCGCTGGAGCCACATGCAGCAGCAGCAGCAGCAGCAGCAGCTGCCCGCGCGGCAGCTGCTGCTGCTGCCGATTTCCCCTTCTAAAAGCTGGCGTTCTAGTCCATAGAAAACTGCGCAGTAAAGAAGCCCCTCTTCCGGGGGCTCCTGTTGCTAGTGGCGCTCCTGCAGCAGCTGTTGCGTTGCTGCTGCTGCTGCTGCTGCCCTTCGCCTTCGGCCTAGGTGCAGCAGCAGCCGCCCCGCGCTGCAGTTCTCGCAGCAGCAACAGCAGCAGCAGCAGCAACAGCAGCAACAGCTTCCTACGCTCGCTCTTTGCTTCCGCCACCTGACCCTCACTTCCACACAGCGGCATCTCTCTCCGCGTCTTCCGCTTCAGGTGGCTTCAGCAGCAGGTGCAGCAGCAGGTGCAGCAGCAGGTGCAGCAGCAGGTGCAGCAGCAGGCGCAGCAGCAGGTGCAGCAGCAGGTGCAGCAGCAGGTGCAGCAATTGCTGCAGCAGCTGCAACAAAAACCGCCGCCGCTGCTGTCCCGCTGGAGGACCTGCTGCAGGGCCTGCTGCTGCTGCTGCAGCTGCTGCAGGGCCTGCTGCTGCTGCTGCAGCAAACAGTCCCTCTCCCCTTGAAAGTCTTAGCCCAGGCCCCAGCGAGCCCCGGGCGGCCCTCGCCAAGTGTACGTACACCGCACGGCCTGCAGCAGTTTGCGCCTAGAGGGCTGCGCGTACACTCGGCGCCCTCGCTATTGAATTCAAAGAGCAGCAAGTGCTGCTGCGCAGCAGCAACAGTGCTGCTGCGCTGCAGCAAAACTGCTGCTGCGCAGCAGCAGCAGACAAATCCAGTCTAACGCGAGTCCCCGCTGTAAGACGGAGACCGCCGGGGCGAACGGCTGCGCGTGCGGCTGCGGCTCCTTCTGCAGCAAAACAAACAGCAGCAGCCACCAAACCCTTGAAAGGATCAACAGCAGCAGCAGCAGCAGCAGCAGCAGCAGCAGCAGCAGCAGCAGCAGCAGCAGCAGCAGCAGCAGCAGAAGGCAGCAGCAGCAGCAGCAGCAGCAGCAGCAGCAGCAGCAGCAGCAGCAGCAGCAGCAGCAGCAGCAGCACTCGCCCGCGCCTGCGGTCCCTGTACTCCTCCCGCCCCCTGTGGGCGTAGCTGTCTTCTCTGTCTCTTCTTTCGTAGGCGCCCCACCAGCCGCGGTCTCTGTAGTCGCGGCGCTCGCGGCTGCCGTACCTGCCGCGCCGCGGGCTGCGCGCACCAAACCCTAAACCCTAAACCCTAAACCCTAAACCCTAAACCCTAAACCCTAAACCCTAAACCCTAAACCCCAGGCCCTCAGCCCTCCCGGGCCCGGGCGCGGGCCGCCCGCGGGCGGCCAGGCGCGGCAGGCGGGCCGCGCGGCCCAAACCCTACGCGCGCACGAGCTGGGGGCGCCCGCTTGGCCCCAAACCCTAAACCCTAAACCCTAAACCCTAAACCCTAAACCCTACGGCGAGTCCATCCTCGAGTACCGCCGCTCATCTTCGTAGCGCCGGCCTCTCGGCGAGCCCTCGCGGCGGCCTCTTTCGTCGCGCTGCTTCTGCACCCACACAGCGCCAAGCCGCCGCCGCAGCATCACCAGCAGCAGCAGCAGCAGCAGCAGCAGCAGCAGCAGCAGCAGCAGCGCGCGCGAGCCGG